TATAAAAAAGAAGTTAAACCGTCGAATTGCGTGCGACTCGACATTTTGCGAGGACACGCACGAGCTTAATTGCGCGGTCATTTAAAAGCCGTAAGTAGCGTATATTTAAGTGTGTAAAAAAGAGAGAGAGTGAGAGAGAGTGATCGAATATTATAATATAATATAAACTGTGATGTTAGCACGAATGTCATGTATTGAAGTTACATTGACGAAGTTTTCGGATCGAGCGAGTTATAACAAAAAGAAGTGTTGAAGTTTCGCTTAGTCCGACGACTTTACACACGGAACTGTCTACGATAATTAATTGTTGAATAATTATTGATTACAATAATTATCATTTATCGCCAAGATGCGGTAAATGTGGGAAAAAATTCTTATTATATATCAAGCACTTTTTTGTCTTGAGAAATTAGTTGATGTTTGTACATAAGTAATCAATTCGTATAAAACGTTTATTTCGGAAAACGAAACGAAAACGTTTGTTCTATACTGTCATTATATTTAGTTAATTTGAACGAGGAAAGTAATTTATTGTAAATACTGTTATATTCATTTGCAATTTTGATTATTGTGTGTACAGAGTGAAGTAATTCTTATTTAGAACATTTTTCTTATGATGTGAAATGGAATATTGCATGTGCAGATTTATAATGCAGATTAAAATGAAGAAAATTAAAGCATAAATTTGTTTAATAATAATATTCGATAATATTCTGTTTAATAATAAATTTATCGTTCATCTTTTCAAAATAGGTAAAGATGATTTTATTAAAATTCAATATTATTTTGATATTAAAACGAAAAATTTTCAAAATTGAGAGGACAAAGATTAACAAAGTGCATTTAAAATTAGTGCTTATGAAATGCAAAAAGTACTTAAAATGAATAATACTTAATAAGAATGTAAAAAAATTTGAAATAAGCTTCTTTTATATATTCAAGAATGAAAAAAATTAAAAATATCTATTATATTATTTTTTGATTTTGGAAAATCACACGAGACGAAATATCGATTTATTTTAAGATATAAAAGCTACATCCAATGGAATTGACTTCACTCTATGCTAGTAATTTAGATTCTAATTTAATCACATCTAATTTAATCACATTTACCGCCAAACATATGCCATTGTCTATTATATCGGCGATGAGATATCGCACAATGCAATCTTACACATCGTAGTTCATCTTTATAAAGCGGATTATTTATATAAATATTTTGAGATAAGAATTTTTGAGAAACATGAACGCGTCCTTTCTTGAAAAAAAATTTCTTGCCTTACATCCGAAAAAAGTAATTGTCCTCTCTCTGAAAGTAAAATTTTTCCACCGGTACGAAAACTATAATCTAGTTTTATTCGAGTATTTAGTAAGAGAAACAACAGTCGTGAGAAACTGCTGCTAATTTCGGAATGAAAATGCAATGAGGTAATTTAGCGCGTATACCAATGTCTATGTAGGCCTATAATAAAGTAAACCGTCACACACTGTAGACATAGTCTCTTAAAAACTCGTATATAAACGCTATTTTAATGCTAGAGTGATCGAAAGTGGGTTCTACATTACAAGGAATCATCATCACCCTATTCTGTGACTTTTTAACGACAGTAACGATATTGTTATATTGTCATTGCGCAGCTTTTTTTTACCATTGTACAAAACTTGCACAACAATACAACAATTTTTGTTATTATCATTCAAAATTACAGAATAGGGGCCTTAGTCATTAAAGAAGAGAATCACTTTCGAATAGAGGCTGCCCTTTTTTTTCTAAATTAAGAATAAGAAAATCGAGAGGATCCGCAAGAAGTACAACTACTTGTATGGTCGTGTAAGCAGAATATATTCGGCGAAATGTCGATTTTACTTCTTTCTGTCTTACGACACTCGAAAGAAATTTGACTCGCGTTCCAGGCCCTTCAAAAATCCGCCGGAAACAATGCCTTATGAGTAGATCATAAGTAGTTTGTAAAAATGTGTAATATATAAAAAATATATTATGTTTATATAACTCTATACAAATACACAGAATAAAACTAATGTTTCAGAACAGAGTTCATTGGCATTTTTCCTATTAATTTGTTACGTATTCAAATTATTTAAAAAAATTATTTAAATTCTAGTCTTTTATTCTCGCGTACTATAATTTGTGCACATTTGTTATATTTTTATAATTTTATTTTATAAATAAAAAAGTGAAGTCGAAATTAATCGATATAAAATAGCATAAGATTATAAATTTTTGAGAAAATAACTTAAATGTTGCAATCTAGATCGTGTTTTGAAATAAATACAATTGTAACATTATTCTCTATATTTCCAAAACAAATGCCCGAATTAGGCACTTAGAAATGGTTCACAAGAAAAAAGAGAGAACATTATCATTTATTTTACACTTTATCGATATATTTATACTTGCTTATTCGAATTATGATCTAAGTGACTATGATCGAAATAAAAGCACTTATTTTTCTTTATTTAAGATAGGTTCAGCAATTGCTGGAGTTTCCCGGAAGTTAGGAAACTGTTCCCATGGGGCGGCTAATTCAAATTTACGGAATTCTTGCGCCAATTCTAATGGTTCAATCACTATTCTTTTATGTTCGTCGTCGTAGCGAACCTGAAATATAAATCATTGATCTTTTAATAAAATTTGATAATTAAAATTTAGGACAAAAATTACTGTTAGATTCTTTAAAATGTAAACAATTATGAAATTGTAAACAATTATGAAACATTAAAAACAATGATATACAAATGATATACAACTATTGAATAATTACCTCAACATATCCACTGAGTGGAAAATCTTTCCTCAGTGGATGTCCTTCGAAGCCATAGTCTGTAAGAATCCTACGAAGATCGGGATGATTCGAGAAGAATACACCAAACATATCCCATATCTCTCGCTCATACCAATCAGCAGCTTGAAATACACTGTAGAGAGAATCAACTGGCGTCAACTCGTCGGTATATGTTTTCACTCTGATGCGTGAATTATATCTCAATGATAGCAGATTATAGACAAGCTGTAATGATAAACAGCATAATGACTTATTTATAAGTAAAATCTTTATTGTCTATTTATAACTGTACGTCAATGTAAAATATTCAGGTTTATATCT